CAGTCTGGACTTCATGACTCCAGCGATTAATCGCGCGGTTATAGAATTGCGAAACTATGAACTACGGACCGCGCTTCATCGCCAATTTGCAGTCGTGACTCCAACCCTCATCCTTTATACAGACCGTTGTAACGAGCCCGAGGTTGCACGCAGATGCGATCGCGCGATTGAATCGCCCCCTCGTGAAGTGTGAACGTGGCCCTATCAATGCGGCTGTTTTTTGAACTTGGACGACTCTCCGCCTAAGTTAATATCGCGTTGTTTGGCCTTGAGAAGCTGTAAACTGGTAGAGGAACCGACAGAGCCAGAATATGTAGCTTTACTCTGGGGGCATAGCCAGACTCATAGTCAGCAGCAAATGTGATCTGTGAATTTAATGGGCATTTAGCGAAGTAAAGGCACACTCATTCTGGAAGAACTGTTGTCAATGTTGGATAAAGGAGGGGAAGGATAAAGTCTTCGGCGTGGCAGAAGGCTCGATTGGTCTGAGCGGGAGCTGATTCAGGATTTGATCCCGAGCCGGGATTGGTAAGCGTGCCAGTTGCCACTACACCACCTCCGCCTTTCGAATGTCAGATACGTATGTAAACAGAAAAACAAATGGTCATATATAAAAGTTCCTCTGATAACAAAAGAGATGACAACTGACTTCAAGCGAAAGAAGTAGTTAAGATAGTGTTTACCTGTTTGAACACCTGATGACGGCCATCTAGTTGAAGCCATTAGGGTCAGTAATCCAACGAGTACCTATAAATATAAACATACTGCGAATTAGGGGAGGCAATAGTTGGAGATAAACGAAAAGGTGAGCAATTCATCATGTGCTTGCTTCTTTTGCGATACATCCCCTAATTACAACGCGTGGGCTTGAGATCCGAATGTGAAGTCCTGGACGATAATTAATTTATCATTGAGAAAACCCGAAAAATCGCCGAAGACGCCCTGAATAACGCCCCTGGGTTAGAGCTTCTAAAAATATGAAACACTGCTGGAAACAAAAGATAAAAGATGGAAGAAGATGTAGAGAGCTGAAAGATGAGAAAGACACAGGGCGATCCCACTCATAATCAAGCAACTCGTCACTAATGGATTTATAAATTCAGAGCCGCTGGCATAGATTCTTTTTCGCTGCGGACGACGGGGCGTGTTAGAAGGTGGGCTGAGCACGGCACCAGCCCGCTCTCCACCAGTTCTGGAAGCTGGCAGACGACCACAGCTGATGGAAAAGTAGCTGGCGGCGCGCCAAACCCATCCCCCTCACGCGGCCCAGCGTCAGTCTTCTTGCCCTTGTTAGCTCAAAAGGAGACTCGGACTAAGATTGCGGATAAGATACCACTTCAGGCAATTATAGAGTGTGTCTCGAATAAAGATCGGTAGGACGGGTTTCGGATGAAATGGCTGGAAAGAACGAAAGTAGACATGTTCCAGGAGAACAGAACAACCCTCCCACACAACAACTAATGACAGTTGCATATACTCAGAAGGTGCAGAACATGCTAGCGAAAAAGCAAGCAGATTCCATAGCCCTGCTACCACCTAATGAACTGAAAATGCTCGCGGCATCTCGCTCAGGTTGTGGGTTACATCCTAGGTGGGGTGGGCTGCGTGCGATGAGTCACAGAGCTCTGTGAGAATGTGAGTTAAATACTGGGCACACTTCCGCAAAGAAAGAAAAACATCATAAGAGCTTAAGAATTCACCAAGGAAGTTGCTCGAACTAGTTCGAGCTACCTGTCTGAAGGCAACGTTTGCCAGGCTTTTTTCTATGAGATGAGACGATATCGGAAGACGGAACGGTAGTGAGGCTAGCAACAAATCGCAAAATGGCCATAAACTGGTATACTATTGACACAACGAGCCTTGATTTGAATGACGACTTTCTCTGATGTATTGCTATAGTCAGAACCAACATGCCGCAACGATTTTATTTGACCACTCGGGTTTAGTTCACAAAGATCTTTATTCCAGAATCCGACGCAAGCGATGACTCGAATAAAATAGATATAACAGCCTGTTTGTGACTATTAGGTTGATGCATATGTTTTTAACCCCGACTTTTTTGTAAATATCTCAATAGCGAACCAGCCTGAAGATTAGAGGTATGCACCATCCACTACTCGACGCCAACGCTCAGGCAGCTTGTCGATTCCATCGTCCCAGAAGGACGGGGCTGGGACCCGAAGAAGGCCACAATGCCGCACAATCACCACTGTGACATGGTTTTGCACTGGTAATTGTGCGGCATTGTAGCCTGCAAATGCAGGTGGATTTGATTGATAGCTTACATTAGTGATGGTGAAAGAGTTATACGTAATGTACACTGTCATGCACAGCCGTGGATGACGAAATTCCAACCTCCATGCAAGCGAAATACGGAAGGGTCAAATTTACAAAAAAAAGTCGGGTTAAAAACACATGCATCAACCTAATACATCGTACGTTGGGGATCCTCAGCGAGGGAGTTGCATTTGGTTGCTGCAGGGAGGATGTCGAACTTGCTTTTGGGGAGAATGACTTCCATTGACTTTTGTCGGCTTTTCCTATAGGGTGCACTATAGAATCACGCTCTACGGCAGCACCTTTTTTAGGAAAAAAACAAAGAATTTCTCGGAGAAAACTCCGGAAACGAGGAAGGAAGTTGGGAAAATCTGAAGACAAGCACATCGATTGCATTTGTGCAGAGGGGTGGCGTTACCACTCTACAGTGGTTGAGTGAGTCCCCAGGGAAGAAAAAAGCAAAATGAATCATGAAAAACACCATAAGTAAGAACCCTCTGGCACCTCACTGTGAGTTCTCCGGACCTGCTCGTTTTATGCCACCAACGCGATGCCCTCCTGCCTATGGCCTACTAATCGTTTCATCACGTCAGCCAGTGCTAATATCATCCAACATGGAAGAAAGAACGAAAAAACAAGACAAAACTGAACTTGTGACAGAAAAGAGCTTTCGAGGCTCTGGAGGGGAAGGCATCAGAACTGCCACTTATGAGAGCCGCAGCGCCCTCGCTACTTACTGAAGTGCGAAAACCTTAGGGACTGCGGGCCAGATTCATTGAACAAGGAAGCAGGCCCATGAAATGTTTGGCGCGTGGACCTCTCACCAGCCACACGATGGCACGCTAAACTCGCTCCGCCGCCACCTGCACAACCAGCCAACGCCTCGTCACGTACCACAATAGCCGCGCACTCTCCCGAGCACGCGCCACGGCCTCATCTCACTTCTCTCTCACCACAGCTCCTTCCCCCTCCACCTCGAACAACAAACAGTCACGTCAGCCACGCCTCTGTGCAGAACCCCCTCACACGCGGTCGCTCACACCGGCGCACACAGCTCACACCGCGCTCACACACTCCACGCACTCAGCCTATCCGCCA